TAAAAAATGAGTGATAGACTGAGAGAACAAGGATGAAAACTGGGTTTAGGAGGAACAAAGCAGAGGTAGAGATGGAAAAACAAGAGGTTATGACCAGAAAGGGAAATTTCAGAGTTAAGGATCAGGGAAGTGATGTTTAATGGGAATGCATAAGTATGACTAACCTTTTAGGTAGCCAAGGTAGATTGGAGTTTATAGGTCATGGAAAGTGAGAAAGTTGATGAATTGAAGGTCAGGGTGCTTAAAGGATGTTTAGCATGAGTTTTATTTTGAAATCCCCAGGTATAACCCACAGGTTGGGGTAAAGAAAAAGTCTGTGAACCAGGTGAACCTTTTTTCTTTGATAAACAGGAAAGAGTGATCATAAGCAAAAGAAAATAAAATGATGCTCAGGATGAAAGGAAGTTTAACAGTGTCTTGGTACGTATACACACACACACACACACACACACAAAGTTGGAGAGCAGAGACTGTGGATTATAGTTGATCTAGATATGGCATGAGAGAGCAGAGTTGTAGGAGGGAAAGGGAGTTTTGCCTCAGCGGTTTGAATCACCTAGATTGGAGAAGGAATAGGTTCATTTTCTAGTTATGGGCCTGAGCAAGTACCACTTGCCTGAAGCCCCCAGTTCCACTGTCCTATGATAACCTTTGTGCAGGGGCAGTGGCATTATCCTGTTTTCTCTCCAAATTCTTGGAAACTCAGGGCGGGAGATGGGAAAGGGTTGAAGTCAGCAAAGAGATAAAGTTAGGTATCTAGGTTGGTCAGTGTAGAATCACATACAGAATCTCAGATTTGAAAGATACTTTAGTAGCCATCTAATCCAACCCATACCTGAAAAAAGAATCTCCCTCTATATCATAGCCAAGAAGGGGTCATCCAGTCCTAGTTTGAAGACTCCAAGTTGGTTGGGATAGAAGGAAGGATCCAATACTTGCAGAGGTAGACCATTACACTCCTGTGTGATTGTAATCATTAGGAAGTTTTTCCTAATATCAAGATTAAATTTGCCTCTGTAACCTTCACCCATCATCCCTAGTTCTGCTGTTTGTTCCATTCAAGTCTAATTGATCTTACATATGATATAGCCTTTCAGAGACTTGAAGACAGCCCTCATGTTCACCCTGAATTTTCTCCTTCCAGGCTAAACATTCTCGATTCATTCATTCAGTCCTCAGATGTTACAAACTCAAGGCTCCTTACCATCCTGGTCACCCTCCTTCAGGGGTCACCAATTTATTAATGTGTTTCTTCAAATGTGTTACCCAGAGCTGAACTTAATACTTCAGGTAGGGTCTGGCTCAAGCAGAGTACAAATGGTGTGAATGCTGTGCCTCTCAGTGTAGACTAAGATTGCATTAACTTTCTATTTTAGCACACTTTTGAGTTATACTAAGCTTGTAGTCCTCTAAAACTTTCATATGTTTTCATTAAGAATGCTGTCTAGCCACACCTCTTCAACCCTTTGCAATCTGGCTTTGGCATCATCACTCAACTGAAACCGATCTTTCCAAAATTTTTAGAATCGTAGATTTTAGGGATGGAAAGGAACTTCCATTTAGTTGAATTCCTTTTTGTATGGTTGAGGAAACTGAGATCCTGACTGTTTAATTGATTTCCCCAAGCTCACACAGGTAGTAAATGGCAGAGCCAGGATTTAAACCTAGGTCTTCTGATTCCAAATATAACGACTAGGACTATGCATCCCGCCCTGCTCTGTTTTCTGAACTCTAATCCCACGTCACCAACTGCCCATTAGGCATTTTTAACTGAATGTCTCAGAGACATTTCAAACTCAGTATGTCCAAAACAACTCATTATCTTTTCCCCAATGCTCACTCCTCTTGCAGACTTCCCTATTTCTGTCAAGGGCACTACTATCCTTCCAGCCACCCACTTTCACAGCCTTTTCCCTCTCCCTGGTCTCATGTATCCGATCGATTGCCAAATCTTTTTTTCCTTCGTCTACATCTCTTTCATCTTCCTCTTTCTCTTTACTCACTTGGTCACTGTCTTTATTCAGGGCCCTATCATCTCTTGCCTTGTCTGTTGAAATATTCAACTGACCTCCTGATTCCTTAACTTAATTAATTCCTTAACTCCCTGGTCTTTTTGCCTTGTCTTACCCTCTGTCCAATCTATCCTCCACATAGCTGCCACACTGATTTTCATGAAGTGCAGATCTGTGTTGGCTCTCTACTATATAAACTCCAGTAACACCTTATTGCCTCTATTGCTTCAATCTACCTTTCTAGCCTTACTTCTTCCCTTCATATCCTACATACACTACAGTCTATTTGTACTGGCTAGATTGTAGATTCCTTAAGGAAAGGAGCTGTTTCTTTTTTATTTTTACATCTCTAGTTTCTAGAGCAATGCCTGGAACATAGTAGATACTTAATAAATGCATGTTGATTCTTTGAGATTTTTTGAACACTAGTATAGGCCTTTATACTTATCAAACTTTTAATTTTTTAGAATTGGCCCAGTATTCTGTCCTATCAACAAAAGCTTGTTGAATCAGGGCCCAGTGTTAGCTATTTTTCCTAGCTTGCTGTTATCTGCGAATCTGATAACGACCTTGTCTTTGCTTTTTTTTCCAAGTTATTGATAAAAATGTTAAATGACACTATCTAGCATAGAATCTGGAACACCTTACTAAAGACTTTGCGCAAGTAATATCTCCTTGAGGCTGGCTATTCAACTCATTCTACATCCATCTCACCCACCTTTTCCCGTCTTTTTCAAAAGAATACCATGAAAGACTTGGTCAGGTGCTTTACTAAGGTCTGCAGTATTTCCCTGATCTTCCACAATTAGAAGTACAATCAAAAAGGGGTAATAAAGTTAGTCTGTTGTGACTTGTTCTTTTTTTAAAATTAAGTTTTATTTTTAGCTCCAAATTTTTCCCTACCATTTTCTCCTCTCCCACCATTAAGAAAGTAAGAAAACAGGGCAGCGAGGTGGTGCAGTGGATAGAGCACCAGCCCTAGAGTCAGGAGGACCTGATTTCAATCTGGCCTCAGACATATAACACTTACTAGCTGTGTGGCCCTGGGCAAGTCACTTAACCCCATTGCCCAGCCAAAACAAAATCCATTATAAACATGTATAGTCAAACAAAACAAATTCCTATAACAGCAAAAAAAAAAATAGCTATTCCTCTTTCTGCATTCTGAGTCTATCACCTCTCTTTCTTTAGATGGATGGCATGCTTAATCACAAATCCTTAGCAATCATGTTTTGTCTTATGTTGATCAAAGTCTTTCAAAGTTGTTTTTTGTTTTTGGTTTTGTTTTTGCACTTGTTCTTGAGGAAATCACACCGGCTCTTTGTAATTACTGTTTCCTTTAGTAATCCCTTTATTCCATTAATCATCCCTTTAGTAAAATATTCTAGATTTTGTCCAAGCATCAAGGTTAGAACTCCATTCTCTTATTGTTATTAAAATCGGCAGTATTTGCGCTTCTTCAGTCCCATGATTCCTTCCATATTCACTATGTTCACTTGTTTAGTCAATCAGCATTGATATGTGCTGATCCTTTTAGCACTCTATAGTGTAGTATATCTGAGCTAGGTGAATTGCTGTCATCAGAGACAGCTAAGTGGTCCCTTACTCTCTTCTCAATTTTCTTGTTTATCAACTCCCTATCTGTCTTTTTTTCTGTTTTTTTTTCTCCCTTGGCCCAGCAAACTAGCAGAATTCGAGCTGAGCAGCTCTGCTGTCTGTCATCAGTTATCATCCCATCAACCCTTATCAGTCATCTTATCTCTACTCTGATCCTTCTTGTCTCCAAGATAAAGCAACAAAAACTCCATCATTTTGTTATCTTTAGCTTTCCTAGCCAATCTCAACTTATTCTATACTTTAGCCTCATTCTTATAGGATCATTCCATATTTTAAAATTTATCCATTTATCTATACTTGATTTCATCCTCTGTACATATATTTTTACTTAAATGTTTTGTTTTGTTTTTATATTTGCTCAGAATGGAAATGCAGGGACTGATTAGCACAGAAGCTTTGATCTGTTCCCTGCCAACATGGGTCCAGTTCAGCCTTAAGCAGCAGGATAGCTCCTTGTACATCCTGCTGGTGATCAGGTCCTGAAAGAACTCACCCTTGGGGCCAGTTCCATTGCCTCATCCAAAGAACACAGGCTGTGAAACACATCCAGATTCCATATGTGAAACATGCATTCAGCTTCTAATTGACCCCTATATCTGTGTGCTCAGAGATTTAATCTTGTTACTTTTTCCCCTTCTGTGCACAGGCCACCCCAGCTCTCCACTAGAGCCTAGAGCAGAAGAGCAGGGATTCGTAATCTTTTTTTTTTTCCATCATGGACCCCTTTGGTAATCTGGTGAAGCCTATATGGACTCCTTGAATAAGGGTTTTGAATGCATAAAACGAAATACATAGAATTACAAAGCAAGCCAAGTATATTGAAATAAAAATATTATTTTTTCCCCTCTAAGTTCGTAGACTTCCTCCTCCTCTCCCCTGAAATCTATCAGGTCTGTGGACCCCAGTTTAAGAACCCTTGGCCTAGAATATTTAGAGATATCACTTTCAGATCGAATAAACTTAAAGGTCTGAAGACTCAAACTAAGGACTTGGCCTACAACATTTATCAATGGCATTCTTATAGAATTACTGACTTGATAGTACATGGACTTGACCACTGGACATTCTAGGCCCTTACCTAGAACATTTAGTGATATCATTATCAAAGAACAACTGACTTGAGGGTGCATGGCCCCAGGTTAACTACCTGGCCTACAACATTTAGAGATGTCATTCTCATAGAACAGCTAACTTGAAGATTCATGGATCCAGGTTAAGGACCTGGCCTAGACCATTTAGAGAAGTCATTTTCATAGAATTAGATTGCCAGGAGCATTACCTTGCTGTTTTGGTGAGCTTACATGAAAGTTTTGGATTTTATAGAATGTCACCATGGCTCTAATTTTAAGAGGAATTTCTGTTGAAATTAAGGGCACCAGAAGCAAATTGACCCTGAAACATTCAGAGATTTCTACAACTACTGGAAAGAGACAGAGGCAGAGGCCCAAGAAGTCAGTCTTCCGCCTGAGGTCATCGAACACCTAGATAAAAATGAGTGTGTCTACAAACTGTCAAGCTCGGTGAAAACGAGCTTTGGAGTGGGGAAGATAGCGATGACGCAGAAACGCCTGTTCCTCCTTGCAGAAGGAAGGCCCGGTTATGTGGAGATCTCCACCTTCAGAAGTATAGAGGTAAGGAGGAAGTCATTGTAACCTTATTGTCTTGTCTTAGTGTGAGAATAAGTCCAGGGTCTTATCTGAAGTTGTAAAAAAATTGATCACAGTTCAGAACCGTGACCACAAGGAGATGGGAGGGACTAGAGTCAAGGCAGAGGGGGCACCATCACTTCATGAAAGTGAGTGCTGGATGATTGAACATGGATAACCTACATCAAATTGCTTCCTTTCTCAGGGAGGGGGGAGGGGAAGCAGGGAAAGAAAAAATTTGAAATCAAAAATTTTTTTAAATGAATATTAAAAATTGTCTTTATATGTAACTGGGGGAAAATAAAATATTTTTAAATTAATTATTTTTTAAATAATTAAAAAAAATTTTTTTTAATAAAATATTTTTTAAATGAGTGCTACTTAAGGTTCAGGACAGTAAGATGCTCTGTTTAGCCAGGGCTAACTCTCTTCCTAACATCCAGAAGAAACTTACTCACTGGGAGTCTTTTTTACTTCCCATAGTCCTCAATTGATTTTCGCAGATCTTAAACCCTTCCCTCATAGCAGCAGTCAAGGAGGAGGGTCCTTGAGGTGACTCTGGCAGCAGCCCCAAAGATGTTCTTCAAATATGAACGTGGTCACCACCAGACTCTTTCAGTGGTGGATGAGACTTCCAGTTGAGGTATGAAGAAGTGGTGCTTGGAATCTTCCATTAGTAGTAGTTGGCACAATGGATAGAGTACTTAGAGTCAGGAAGACCTAAGTTCATATCCTTCCTCATATACTTACTGGCTGTGAGATGCTTGGGAAAGTCACCGACCCTCTGGGCTACAGTTTCCTCATCAATAAAATGAGGAGATGGCACTTGACATCTTAAGATGTTGTTCAGCTCCAAATCTGTGATCCTAATGATTCCATGATGATATTGCAGCTTTCCCTAGGTTCCTTCAAGGAGTCCTTCCTACATCTTCTCTCAGGTAGATGAGACCAGCTAATCCAAGAGAGTTGGGGAATATGGAAGAAACCCAGGGGCGTTTGAAATTAAGATTCTCTCTATTGGTGGCTAAGAGAGGTCTGAGCTAGAGGCTGAACTCTTAAGCATCACCTCTCCACCCCCACACACACCTTAAAGAGCCATTTATTAAGTCCTTACTGTATGCAAAGCACTATGCTAAGTGCTGGGAATACGCATGGGAAAATAGGACGGTCCTTGGTCTCAAGGGGCTCACATTCTAATGGGGAAGACAACACATATGGAAGGTTTCAACTACAATTCGGATGAAGGGGACCCATGGGCTTAAGGGCGCAACAGCAAAGGAGATGGTCATGCCTCTTCTTTAATGTAATTTCCACTGATAAAATGATCAGTTTTAGATGTTGAACCATTTGACATTGCCAAGAACTTTGGTGACAGGAATTCTCTTTTCTGGGTCTTTGATAGATGTGACTTTAGCAGCTACAGGAACAGTAGCCAGGCTGCATCTCTAGGCGCTTCCTTGGATGATGGCTATGGGCACTGGGCTGGAAATGTTGCTGTTCCCTAAGCTGTCGGGTTCAAGGCCCTGGGCTTTCTCCACCGGGGTCTGAGGGGAGATGGTGGATACGGTCATGACATCAGTCTGACTTGCCAGGCCCATGCTGCCTGCTTTCTCTCTCTCAGTGTGGCTTGCGGCTTCAGTTAGGCCAGCTTGCTTGTCTTTTGAGTTGTAGTTTGAGAGCATGGCTGCTCTCTTGTCTCAGGATTTACTCCACCAGAGGATGACTGTAAGGCCTGTATGCAGGACTGGTGGTTTCGGGGCAAGGGTAGAGAGGAGCAATGCTGCCATTTACATGGCTCAGCTGTTCATCTACTTGTTGGTGTTTATCTAGCAGTTGTCGCTGGTGGGGATGAGAAAGGTGGGCCCCTCCTCAGCGATGACTTTGGAAGCCGGACTGGAAGGAGGTCTGGCAGTTTGGTGGTCATTGCCATTGCCAAGACTCTTGGTTTCAGGTTGCTTGATGTGAAGTGGTCAGGGCATTGATCTCTGGTGAAGAAGAAACAACTTTGTTATATCACAGTGTAAAATCAGCAGTTAAGTGGAATAGTAGCTAGAAAGCTAGGCTTGGATTCAGGAAGACCCTAAGTTCAAATTTTGCTTCAGATACTAATTGTGTGACCCTTGGACAAGTCATTTAACCTCTGCTGCCTCAGTTTCCTCTTCAGTAAAAAGGGGATGATGATAACAACTCCTACTTCCCAGAGTTATTGTGAGAATCAAAAGCGATAATATATGGAAATTTACTTACAAACCTTAAAGTGCAATATCAATGCTAACTATTAGTATTAGTTTTTAGCATATTTAAGTGTTACTATTACTACTTATATTTCTAGCATGCAAGCTTTTCTATGTTTAACAGTTGTCTTTTAAATGCAAAGTTTATTCTAAAACTAATCATTTTTTTCTATCTAGGAAATGGGGAAACTTTATACTACTTGTATAATTAGCCACAGTGGATAAAGCTCTGGGCCTGGAGTCAGGAAGACCTGAATTCAACTCTGGCCTCAGATGCTTCCTAACTGTGTGAACCTGGGCAAGTCACTTAACCTCTGTCTGCCTCAGTTTTCTCAACTGTAAAATGGGGATAATAATAGCACCTACCTCACAGGGTTATTGTGAGTCTAAAATGAAATAATATTTATAAAGCACTTTGTGAACCTTAAAGTGCTATGCAAATCCTTAATATTTTTGTTGTTGTTGTTGTTATTATTATTACTATTATTATCATAGGATCTAGAACTGAAAGGGACCTCAGAGGCCAGTCTTCCCAAACATCCTGCTAGAAATCTTAAGAAGTATTTAAGTACTTAAGAAAATAAATTCTTTTAAAAAGCTTTCAAAGAAATGAATTATGTGCTAACAGCTGGCATGCTCCTAATTGTAATTTTCCCATTTATTAAAGCAGCTCTCAAATGATGCTACTCCCAGCCATGCCCCTAACCAGCTGTTATCTCAGCATGTCTCTTGACCCCTCTGGGGCTCAGTTTCCTTATCTGTCAAATGAGAAAGCTGGGATGAATGACCTCTGACGTTCCTTCCGGTTGTAGAATCTATGAACTCTTTGGCCACCCTTCAAGTATGTACTAATTAACAGATGGCAACACTGCGCATCTTTAAGAATATTCCTTAATTCAAACAAAAATTCAATTTACTTTCTTCTCCAATTAGTTGAAATTGGTAAAGGTTTGGTTTTATCTTGGGGATTTTGGGGGGATAGAGGGAGGTGCTTTGGAAGTCTATGGAGCAGCTAAGTGATGGAGTGGATAGAATACCAGCCCTGCAGTCAAGAGGACCTGAGTTCAAATTCAGCCTCAGACACTTCCTAGTTGTGTGACCCTGGGCAAGTCACTTAACCCTGTTTGCCTCAGTTTCCTCATCTGTAAATAAGCTGGAGAAGAAAATGGCAAACCACCCCAAATGGGATCATGAGGAGTCAACACAACTAAGTGACTGAACAACAATAATGTCAGTCTATAATCCACCTTTTTTTTCTTTCCCTTTTGATTACAGGAAGTGAAAAGTACAACTGTAGCCTTTCTGGTTCTGAGGATACCCACTCTGAAAATTAAAACTGTTTCCAGAAAGGAAGTCTTTGAGGCTAATCTCAAAACAGAGTGTGACCTTTGGCACCTGATGGTGAAGGAGATGTGGGCCGGAAAGAAAATGGCTGATGATTATAAGGTCAGAGAAGTTGAGGTTGAATTGTTTATTTGTCTGTTGCTTTTAATCAATGCTGATCTCATTGCCTCAGTTTCTTTTGCCAGAATGTCAAACTGCTGAGCTCTTAGGCACTGGTCCCGTAAAATGCAGTCGTTTGAACCTGATGTCCACATTGCAGTCTCCTGCAGATAACCAAGCTGTTTCTGCATTAGGTCCAATGAGGTCTTAATTATCAAAATCTCAAAAAGACCATATTGCCTGTCTCCAAAAAAAGACTTGGTAGCACTTGGGTGGGTAACTATCTCACGTGGAAAGAAAAATCAAGAACTAGGAGAGAAGTAGGTTAGGAAACAAGATGACAGATACCCTGGTGCCTGTGTTGACAGCTTCCTCCTCTCCACCCCCATCCCCCAGCTACCACCTGGTCTGCCCCCGTCTCATACCTGGCTGCCACTGCTCTAGTTCTGGGTAAGAGGGAGAAGTTACAAAGAAGCTTGACTGTGTTGGATATGGCCAACCAGGAGTAGATCTCACCTGAGATTTTTTAATTTTTAATTTTTACCCCTCTCTCCCTTGACTTGGCTGTAAACACTTAAAATGATTGGTAAAATCTTTAAAAAAATTTTTCAGTTGGGCAGCTAGGTGGCGCAGGCCTTGGAGTCAGGAGGACCTGAGTTCAAATGTGCCCTCCGACACTTGCTAGCTGTGTGACCCTGGGCAGATCACTTAACCCTGATTGCCTCACCAAAAAGAAAAAAAAAAGTTTTTTCAGTCAACAGTATTGGGCCCATTCTAAAAGACCTAATCATTGAGCTTTGCACTGAAACATGCTGTATGCCCAAATCCATTAATTGCTCACACATATACTATTTTTTCTTTTGGGTGAGGCAGTTGGGGTTAAGTCACTTGCCCCCGGTCACACAGCTAATTAAATGTCAAGTGTCTGAGTCTGGATTTGAACTCAGGTCCTCCTGACTCCAAGACTGGAGCTCTGTTCACTGCACCACCTAGCTGCCCCCCATACATATACTTCTAACATTTGTTAGTCTACTTTTTTCCAATAAAATGTATAAAACTATCTTTTGACTTGTGGTATGTTATACATGTGGTTTCTGCAGCTTGGTTACTCTTTCCACCAATACACAACTACATCCTTTCCCTATTATTCTGATGCCTCTTCATGGCATGGAAGTGACCCAGTTAAATCAACCAAAAATTAGCTCAAGTGGATCCCACCACATGGGAAAGACTTTGAGTGTGTGCCTAGGCTCAAAACTGTGCCTGTGGTTCCAGCTAAGCACAAAAAGGTACTTGATCAAGTAATGACATTTCTGGCTACAGCTATGCATGAACTGGACAAAACCACAAAATGGCACTACCGCTTTGCCTTTTTTCTGCATCTGTAGGGATAGAGGTAGACAGGCAGAAAAGGAAGAAGAGAGTACTAAGAATCTCACAATTCTGTGGTTCTGTGACCTTCCAGTCCAGCTGGGGAGTTATCCATTTGGTTTTATTAACTATGTTGTATGTTTTCTTTTTCATTAGTATAGGCTGTATTGAGTTTAGAGTAAGAAAAAAATCTATACAAAAGTCTTAAATGCATAGGACATTTCAGTCTATGTTATTTTAATGCCTTAAAAATAGAAATGTATTATTAATTGTTTCTGTAAAAACATCTTCATTTCAAGCATGTATTAAACACCTACTATGTATAAGGCATGGGGGCAGAGATAAAGAAGACAAAACAATAAACCTGCCCTCAAGTTGCTTACAGCATTACTGGAGATACTTAATTCCAGAAGAATTTATCTGAGCACAGGAGGGAGGTGGAGTACCCAGCCTGTGTTGAATGAAAGTAGTTGGATTAATATGAATGTATACGTAGAGCCTATTTCACATTGTCTTGGGAAGGGGGAGAAAATTGAAAATTCAAAAGCTAATGGAAGCTCGTGTGGCGCTGCCGCCCTTAAACAGATGAGTAATTTGACATGGATTTGCGGGTTCTTTTTCTTCTAGGATCCCCAGTATATCCAGCAAGCACTGACCAATGTTCTGCTAATGGATGCTGTGGTTGGTGCGCTTCAGTCACCAAATGCCATTTATGCTGCCTCCAAATTATCTTATTTTGATAAGATGAAGACTGAAAGTAAGATTAATATTTTTGGAATAGCATTATGCGATCCTGTTTCTCATCAAAACGGCATTTGGTGATATCATTCAAAATCGCTGCCCTAGTTGTCTCAGATAATTTCATTTCTAGGGATTGTTTAAATGGAGGGAGTTTTGAAGTTAGGGAGGATTATTTTTCCTTTGGAATTAATTTAATGTCTTGTTCTTTATTTTGGCATGCGTGCAGTTTACTTGCTGTTATTGCTTAATTGTGAAATGATCTACTGAAAAATCTTCGTTTTTTGTACAGCTCTCAGTGGAAACTGTGCAACCTCCAAGGCAAATTAGCAAATTCAGCTAGAAAATAGGACTAGAAATTGTTTCTTTTTTAAAACCTCCAATTAACTCTTTAAAGACTGTCCCAGTTAATCAGAACGATTTACCATGAGGGCTGACCACAGGAATTCCCAAGAAGACTCAGCACGGGGAATCTCATTCCAGCAGGATCCAGAGAATTTTGCAATGACGTGCATAGCATGTGCGTGAGATAGTTATTTTTATGCCCATCAAGTGACTACCACTTGTACCCAAAGTACAGGAAGGTCTCCTTTCTGTAGGAGAAGGAGAGGAACAAGGCTTCACTCTCCAGGCCATCAGGATGAATGAAGTGTTCCTTTAAGAAGCAGAATCAGGGCTTCAAGGTAAAAAACAAAGTGAAGAAGGGGGTCCTGCCCTGTGTCAGGAAGAAAGAGATATGACAGAAGAGAAGAGAAAGAGGCCTCCTTTAACAAGAGTAATAGTAGAACACACTTCCCAAGAAAAGGGTTCTGGGACCCACTTCAAGTAATAAACCGATAGGTGCCATCACCAAAGAGGTCATCTCCTAAGGGTCAGAGTGATCAGAGAGTGGTGATTGGGGATTCTCTTCTGAAGGGTGCCAAGGTGTCCGTTTGTTGACTGGACTTACCAATAGAAAGTTTGTTATATTCCAGAGGCATGAATCTATGACGTAATGGAGAATCTTCCAAGATTGTTAAATCTGAATGTGTGTGTGTGTATTGGGCAGCTAGGTGGCTCGGTGGATAGAGCACGAAGCCTGGAAGTCAAAAAGACCTGAGTTCATACCTTCCTCAGACACTTTACTAGCTATGTGATCCTGGACAAGTCGTCTCACCTCTGTTTGCCTCAGTTTCCTTATCTATAAAATGGGGATAATAGCAGCTCCTATTTCACCAGGTTATTGTGAGGATTGAGTGACCACTATATAAATGCTAGATACTTTACAAAATTGTTGTTGTCGTCGTTGTTCATTTGTTAAGTCATATCTGACTCTTCATGATACCATATGGAGTTTTCTCGGCAAGGATACTGGAGTGGTTTGCCATCTCCTTGTCCGGTAGATTAGGCATAGAAGTTAAGTGACTTGCCCAGGGTCACACAGCTAGTGAGTGAGCTAAATTTAAACTCAGGTCTTCTTGACTCCAGGCCCAGCACTCTATCCACTGAGCCATCTAAGCTATCTTTTTCATAATATAATATAATTCTTTATAATATATGTTATGTCTCATATATTGGGATTATTAATTATAGTACACATTATTAATATTATAACTCATATAATACAAATTATTGCTATACAAATATTATATGTCCTTTTAACAAATTTCCCGCCTCTCTTCTCCCCACAAAAACAAAACAAAACAAAACTGTAGTTCAGTAGAGAAAGAAGAAATCATGAGATCATTGGGTTATCCTTCAGAGTATAGCCTAAGTCCTGTGCCTTACAGGAGGCCTTTACCAGTCACCCCAATTGAGTGCTCTCTCCCTCTCACAATTACTTTATATCATTTTTCATAAAATTATCTGTACACGTGTTATCTTCCCTAGAAATAATGCCATCTCCCTTGTCTTTGTATACTTTGCAGTTAGCATCATGCCTTGCATGTGTGTGGTGGGTGATCAATAAATGCCACTCTTTTGATAAACTTAACCCTTCTCAGCAATACAAGGGTCTAAGACATCCCCAGAGGCCTCGTGATGGAAAATGCGATCCACATCCAAAGAAAGAGCTATGGAAGTTGAATTGCTATCGGTTTTTTTTCTTCTGTTGAGTTTTATCTCCTCTTTTGAATGGTTCCTCCTATTGGTTTTAATTTTTACTTACAACTTCACTAAAGTGAAAATGTGTTTAATAGGAATGTAAATGTATAGCCTATATGAGATTGTGCGCTGTCTTGGGGAGGAAGGGAGAGAAAAATTTTACAACTCAAAAGCATATGGAAGTGATTGTTGATAAATCAAAATTAAAAAAATTTAAAAAAAAATAAAATAAATGCCACTCTTGCAAACTTAACTAATTTTCAAACCATTTGCTTCATCTATTTTAGTGCCTATGTCAGTTCCAAAAACAACTTCAGAAACACTGAAGCATAAAATAAATCCCTCCTTAGGAGAAACTTGCCCACAGGCCATAGATATCTTGTTATACACACCAGGTGAGTTGGGTGCAGGGGGGAGGGGGAGGTAGGGGAGGTTGGCATTTTTAAACAAACATTAGTTTATATTTTAAGTTAAGGGCAGCCTTGGGGTGAGGTGGAGAATTGGAAAGAAGTTATATAAATGTGGGCAGGGCTGCCTGTTCTGGAGGAAGCTGTTCCTGCCTCTCTGTATATCCTACTTCTTCCATCTTGCACTCATGAAAACCTGTCTCCTCACAGAAGATGCTGCAGCCTTAGGCACTTTCTCCAGTCCTAGTTGCTTCTTCTCTCTTAAAAATCCTGACCCACTGGCCAGTAGGAGGAATTGAAATAACTATTATTCCCACACACACCTGCCACTTCCAAATCCTTTTTTAGCTGACATCACTCAGCAACTTTTTCTGGTTTGATATTCATTTTATCTGTAATAATGATGACAATAGCTCATATTTATCTGTATCATCCTACCCATATCTTAGTTGTTTTAGTCTGCTGACCCTTGGATTAGTCTTCCCCCGACCTTCTCAAGTTCAGCCCCTGCCTCATTCTTCTTTTCCACTCTAGGTGGGACATCATTGTACATGGTGATATGCCCTCAAGCATCCTGACCTACCACTTCATCAGCCTTCCCTTCGTTCCATCCCAGTCAGGCACAGAAATTATCATACCTTTGGTCTCACCATCACCCATCATTATTCAACCTACATGATCCAAAACTCTGAAAAGTTTCTGTCAATGTCTTATCTTTCTCTCTGTCCTTCTCTTCTTCTTCATTCATCCTAAAACTATTTGTCGTGGTCCTTGCAACCTCTAGTCACTCCATCCTTGCCAGCTTTCCCACTCTATCATCTCTGTTCTGACTTAAGTATCCTCACTTTACATTCTTGACTCTATAGTTGGTCAGGTCAACTTTACACTGATGCCTCCCTTTAAATGCCTTCTTCCCTAGCCTACTGCTGTTCATGCTTTCCCAAACACCACTCTCACCATCTACTTCCTCTGCTTCTCCTTACATGCTGCTGAATATTGCTGAACAAAGTCACATAGCAGTATAGAATGGATCTCCTTGTAAAATTGATCCCACCCTCTCCCATCTTCTCTGAGAGCTCTGATCATCCCTTGATCATCTCCACTTTTTTTTTTTACAGACCTTGAGTGTCTTTTTTCCCTGGCTTCTTCCTTGCTGACTGAAAACATGCCCAGATTCCGTCTGCACTCTGTCTTTAAAAAGTATCATTTGAATCTTCCATTACCTCAAGCTGTTCTCCTATATCCTTTCCTATTTTTCCAATTTTTAAGCAAACACCTAAAAAATTAGCTATCTACACTCGTTCCCTCGACTTCATTGCTTCTCACTCATTTTTCAGTACCTTGTAATCTGGTTCACAACCCTGCCACTCAACTGAAATTGCTCTTTCCAAAGTTACCTACAAACTCTTAATTGCTAGATTCAGTGGCCTTTTTTCAGTTCTCATCCTTTTTTTACTTCCCTGCATCTTTTGAAACAATTTAATCAGCCTTCCTCCTGGATACTCTGTCTTGCTTATTCATATTTTTATCTTGTGGGTCTCCTCTGACTCGTCTGACTGTTCTTTCTTTATTCTCCTTTACTGATTCACCATCCATGTTCCATCCGCAAACACAGATTTTCCTCTTCTCTTTTTTCTCTGCATGCTCCCTCTTAGTAATCCACTCAGTTTCCTTTGGTTCCTTTATCGCCTTTATGAAGATGATTCCCAAATCTACATAGTCTGCCCTCATCTCTTTCATGAGACTTCCCTGCCTGTCTCCTAGATTTCTCCACCATATATCTCACAAGCATTAACATATCCAAAACAAAACTCATCTTTCCCCATAAACCTTCCCCGTCTCCTCACTTCCCCATCTTTGTTGAGAGCGCCATCATCCTTCTGTTCTCCCAAGTTCAAGACTTGGGAGTCATGCTCATCTCTGCTTTATCGCCCATAACCAATCAGGCATCAAGTTGTATCAATTCTGAGTCCACAACACTTCTTGCATCCCCACCAGCGTGGCCATCCCCCTAGCTCAATCCTGGACATCGTCAATAGTCTCCTAACTAGTCTTCTGCTTTCCAGTTACTCCTTTCTCTAAGCCATCATCCACACAACCACCAAACTGATATCCCTAAAACGCAGGTGTGAACGTTTGACTTCTCCACTAAAGTGTCTCCCTTTGTCTAGGATAAAATACCAACTCTTCTGCTTAGCATTTAAAGCTTCTCTCAGTCTGGCTCCAGTGGCACAGGACCTCTGTGCCCCAGTGCCTAGCACAGGGCCTTGTACATGGTGGGCATTTAATAACCACTTATTCATGGTATCATAATACCCTAGATTTAGGGCTAGAATGACCTCAGATGTCAATAGGTCCTGCCTTCCCTCTTTAGGGTTGGGTAGGCTGAAGTCCGGAGACATGAAAGGTAACAGTGAGTAAGGGGCAGAGCTGGAATTCAGGTGCAGATTGCCTCACTCCAAATCCAGTGTTGTTCCCTCTGTTGAACTGTTGAAGGCTGGCCCTCTGCACGTGATAAACACCACAGTGCTTCTTGCTGTCCCTTTAATAAGATTTTTTTCGTTTTAGTTGTCAATTCCATGAAAAGTCATAGAAACATATTACCTTCTGTTAATTGAATTTATTCCAAAAAGAGTATTTCTTTTTCTTTTTATTGATTTATTTTTATTTTATTTTATTTATTTATATTTTATTTTTATTTGAAGCAATGCACATGCATTCCTTCAAATAGACAAGAAGTTGAGCCTTCAATCAATGAGAAGTTGATTCCTTGGGGTAGCTAGGTGGCACAGTGGATAGAGCACCAGCCCTGAAGTCAGGAGGACCTGAATTCAAATCCGGGCTCAGACACATAATACTCACTAGCTGTGTGACCCTGGGCAAGTCACTTAACCCCAATTGCCTCACCAAAAAAAAAAAAGGAAAAGAGAAGTTGATTCCTTCAAATAGAACAAGTAGTTCAAATGGACAATTATCACGTTCAGTTAAAGTTGCTTTTAGGATGGAGAAGAATTGGAACGACTAGGTGTTGCAGTAGATAGAGCACTGGACCTGGAGTCAGGAAGACTTGAGCTCAAATTTGGCCTCAGGTACCTAATATCTTTGTGACCCTGGGCACATCTGCCTCACTTTCCTCAGCTATAAAATGGGAATAATAGTAGCACCTACCTACCTCCCCGTGTTTTTGTGGGGATCAAATGAGATAATGTTTATAAAGTGTTTTGTAAAACTTAAAGCACTATAAAATGTAAGTGATGATGATGAGGATGATGATGATGAAGGAAACAAGTGAGAATCAGTGTAAGTGTAGTATAGTATTCGAGGTGCATGCATTCAAGGACACTTTTATAAGTTGTGGCTTTGTCTCTCATTTTGCATATACGTGCCGCATCCAGCAACTTGAAAGGAAACCTATTCAAATCCTTGTGACGTCATGCTATAAAAGATTATCGAGTCAGTGGATGTCACAATTAGAAGTGACCTCCATGACCATCTAGTCCAGGGATTCTTAATCTGGGGTACACTGACCCAGCAGGTTCATGAGTTCAGATGGGAAAAGATTAGAGCTTTATTTTCCCTATAAGAGGTTTCCCTTTTAATTCTATGCATTTGATTTTACGCATTTTGAAACATTATTCTGAAAAGAGGACCATAGGCTTCACCAGAATTCCTGGGCTGAGACTCCATGATGTAATCCAACCTAGGCCTGAACAAGAACCTCTCTATGACATACCCAAGTGGTCACTCATTTGGCTTTTGCTTGATAACCCTCAGTTATGGGGAACCCACCACTTCCTAAAGGAGCTGATCCCATTTTGGGGTAATTCTAATTGTTAGTATTCTTGCAAGCTAATATTTGTCTCTTTGCAACTTCTGTTCACTGCTCTTAGTTTTCTCTTCTTATTCCCAAGAAGAATAATTTCTTGTGTTCAGTTGTTTTCACTTGTGTCCAACTCTTCATTGACTCCATTTGGGTTTTCTTAGCCAAGATGCTGGAGTGGTTTGCCATTTCTTCTTCAGCTCATTTGACAGATGAGAAATTGAGGCAAACAGAGTTAAGGGGCTTACCCAGCGTCACACAGTTAGTAAGTGTCTGGAACCAGATTTGAGCTCAGGGAGATGTGTCCTCCTGCGCAAGACCAGCACTCTGTGCACTATGGTGCCACCTAGCAAACCAACAATGATAATACGTGACCGCAGTCATATACTTGATTGATCACTCCCAGTACGTCTTGCCAAGTCTTCTCTTTTCCAGGCTGACCGTCATTCATTTCCTTTACTGATTCTCGTCTGGTTTGATCATAAACTCTTTACCATCCAAGTTATTTCTCCTTGGGCTCTACAGCTTATCAGTGTCATTCCTAAAATGTGATGCCCAGAACTGAACCTGGTACTCCAGATGTGGTCTGACTGGGCTAAGGTTATCACCACCATAGGCCTGCACACTCTGCCTCTCTTAATGCATCCAGAGGTTTTATCAGTTTTCTTAGCTGTTACAGCTGACTCACTGGTCTGACAGGATCAACTAAAACCCCCAGTGCTTTTCCAGATAAACTGTTCAGATAAACATGCTTCCCCCATATTCTCCTCATAAAGTTGACTTTTTGAACCCAATGTCCTCATCTACAAAATAAAACATTGGACTAGATGATTTTTTTAGATTATTTTCCGGCCCTAAATTTTGCAAGTGACAAGTTTTACCATTGTGTTAAATCTGATTTTGCTCGCTCGCATTTCATTTTCTTTTTTTAACTTATGATAACTTTCCCTGGTAAATGATGCATTTGTGTACTCGTGATTCCTCAACCCAAAATTCTACTTTTCTTCTTCTCTCCCTGCTCCAATCCATCCTTCATTCAGCCGCTAAAGTGATTTCTCCTAGATCGCAGGTCTGATCATGTCACTCCTTCCTACTCAGTAAACTACAGTGGCTCCCTTTTGCCTCCAGGATCAAATGTAAAATACTCTATTTGGCATCCAAAGCCCTTCATAACCTAGCCCTTCTATCTTTCCAGTCATCTTACACCTTACTCCCAACCTGTACTCATCAGTCTAGTGACACTGGCCTCCTGGCTGTTCCACAAACAAGACACTCCATCTCTTGGCTCTGGGCATTTTCACTTGCTTATCCTCCCCATGCCTGGAATGTTCTTTCTTCTCAACTCCACCTACTGACTTCCCTCCAAGTCCAAAATAAAATCCCATTTTTTCATAGGAAACTTGTCCCAATCCCTCTTAATTTTAGTTCCTTACCTCTGTTAATTATTTCCTGTTTATCCTGTATATAGCTTGTTTCTATGTATTTGTTTGCATGTTGTCTCCCCCATTAGATTGTAAGCTCCTTGAGGGTAGGGACTGTCTTTTGCCTCTTTTTTCATCTCTCTGCCCTTAACACAGTGCCTGGCACATAGTAGGTGCCTAACAAATGTTGATTGAGTGAATGTGGTAGAGCATATGTACCCACAACTTCCTTGCCAAGCAGAATCACCATCATGTTAACAGCCTGCCTTTCTTTTTATCTCGTGACTAATCATTTTTTGTGTTAGTGATGAACAAGATTTTAAAAAGAAACTTGGGAAACAAAATAAAAGAGAAACCTGATTTCTGTCTTTTTTAATACAAAAAAAAAGACTTATTTGAGGAATTGATAGATTCCTACCTCTTAAAAGATTTGCTTATGAAGAATCATTTAGCATTTTTATTTTCTGTGCACTACAGTAATAATTTCCTTTTGAAGTTTGAGAATCTATTTCCTTTTTTTCTTTTTTAGGACATCTTGATCCAGCAGAAAAGATTGAAGATGCTCGTCCCAAACTGTGGTGTGCTTTAAGTGAAGGCAAAGTGATTGTGTTTGATGCATCCTCCTGGACAATCCATCAGCAGTCCTTTAAAGTAGGCACTGCTAAGTTGGTGAGTAACAAGGAGGGCGTGTTCTTTCCCACCTGTGGTTCTCTCCTCATGCCTATTTTCCAACTTGCTAGTATTTCTTTTCTCAAATTCTGGAAATTTTAGACTAAGGCCCCAATATAAATCAGATCCATTTTACCCCAGAATATTAGAATGAGTGTAAATAGCAATTGTTTTCTGTTCTGGCCAGAAACTTTAAGGATCTTCCTTACCCAGATTGATACTTTTATGAAGGTAAGTTAGACTGTCTTTAATCTCAGTTCTTACCTAGCCCTTTGTTATTGGATAGGCCTGCCTCAGACATACTGAGACCTGGGAGGCTAAGGTCACCCACTGCATCCTGGGCCACTGCTAGTCATCTTAACGTTTGTCTTGCTACTGGACTTTGATGATTCAGAAGGAGAGAATGAGGACTTTAGCAGCCCTGCCTCACTTACATCCAGTGTGAGCACAAGTCAAGACATCACACTCATGCTATCGTTGGTCTTCTTCAAGCATGAAGGATGAGGGGGCAGCTAGGTGGCGCAGTGGATAGAGCACTGGCCCGGGAGTCAGGAGGACCTGAGTTCAAATCTGGTCTCAGACACTTGATACTTACTAGCTGTGTGACCCTGGGCAAGTCAATTAACCCCGACTGCCTTAAAAAAAAAATGAAGGATGAACACCAACAATAACAATGTGTTATAATATCATATAACTCCTCTTAATTTACTGAATTATCAAACTTAAATCTAAAATACTCTGCTTCATATAAGTTGGCTTCATTATACTTTAGTTGCTGTCATTTAGTCAGTTTGAGTTGTGTCCAACTCTTCATGACCCCATTTGGGGTTTTCTTGGCAAAGATACTGGAGTGGTTTGCCATTTCCTTCTCCAGCTCATTTTCCAGATGAGGAAACTGAGGCAAACAGGGTTAAGTGACTTGCCCAAGGGTCACACAGCTACTAAGTGTCTGAGGCCAGATTTGAACTCAAGTCCTCCTGATTCCAGGGCCAACATTCTATCCACTGCACCACCTAGCTGCCCAAATAAGAGCAAGATTATTGTTCAGTTGTTTCAGTAATGTCCAACTCTTCGTGACCCCATTTTGGGGTTTTCTTGATAAAGATACTGGAGTGGTTTGCCGTTTACTTCTTCAGCTCATTTTATAGGTAAGGAAACTGAGGCAAACAGGGGTAAGTGACTTGCCCAGGGTCACACAGCTAGTATGTGTCTGAGCCCAGGTTTGAACTCAGGAAGATGAGTCTTCCTGATTCCCAGCCCAGTGCACTATCCACTGTGCCACCTAGCCGCCGTGTTAGACTAGCTTACACTTACATTGTACTTTATAAATGCTACAAGTTACTTTTTCACTAAAACCCTGTGAGGCAGATTGGGGAAATGCTATTACCCCATTTTACAGGTGAGGAAACTGAGGTGTGGAAAGGTGCAATGAAATCATTTTCCCAGAATTACATGTGCAGTAAGGGCGGGAGCTGAGATTCAAATCAAAGGCTTCTCTCCAACTCTGGCATTCTTTCCACTCTACCAAGTATACTTACTGATGAATACCATGATGGGCTCAAAGGAACAGAATCTATATGGATAGGCAGCCAGGTAGCACAGTCGATAGAGTGCTGGACTTAAAAGTCATGAAAACCTGAGTTCAAATTCTGCCTTATTCACCACCTCACTATGTGACCCTGGTCAGGTCACTCAGCCTCTTTCAGACTTAGTTTCCCGATCTGTAAAATGGGGATACTAATAGCTCCTACTTCACAGGATCGTTGGGAGGATAAAATGAGATGATATATATAAAACACGTTGCTCATGTTTTTCTGTCCAGTAATTTAAAACAGAAATTTTAATTACTTTTACGTGCTTTGAGGATTAGATCTCAGACTGCTTCCAATCAAATTCACAAAATAGAGCAATCATCTCGTGAGTCTTTTATGCTGTTAGAGTGTCCATTTTTTTTTTGTATTTTGATGTCTCAAATGCTAAGAATAATTGCTTGTCTTCCAATTTGAAGAATCGTCGTTAATAATTTGACGAGTCAGATTCTTGCTCTTCTTTTGATCCCAGGCATAGAACATTGACTGTTGTGCCAGCGTACCAGAAAATTAGAGTTACCATTGGCCCTTCCCCATTTCCTCCCAGAGTCCTTTGCTTGTTAGCTTGTTACCATGGAGAAGTCATGTTATCTTTCTAGGTCTCACTTTATCCATCTCCTTTTCCTCAGGGAAGAGCCAATGGTAATGTTCATCCCTGAATATGCTGACATATTTGGTAAACCCAATCCTCTTCCTTTTAGTAGTAAGTTAAGTATTTAGGGATGTATGTTAAATAGCATTGGCTATTTAATTATGTTAATTCATACCAATAACAAAGGTTAAAAACCCACCGCCATTAAAAACACACGTAATAAAGGAGAGAAGACCACAGCTTTCCTGGAGGGCTCCTGGAAATCTTGGGCCACCATTTGAGAACTATTGCACTACACTAGCAGTGCATGAGGCAGTTATGGACCAGTGATACCTCCCTGACCCAAAAGAGCTCTGACAACCCAGATTTAACCTCAGCAGCATGTCATTAGTCGTAGTGAATTTGCATTTGTAGTTGTGAGTGGAAGGGGGAGGTGGAGCAGGTGTTATCTCCTGGACCCTTTGGCCTTTGATGTGATCAGTGACCAAAAACCTGATGACAAATAATAGATAAGTGAACAACAGTAGCGTGCTACTAATAAAAAAGCATGGTCGGAATATTAATAGTTATTAGGCTTCATTTTCTCCAGATCTAGGTTATACCACTGCTTATAAGTTGGATGCTTGGAAAACATCAGCTGTTTCTGGCCATGAAAGTATTAACTGTCAGATTTTTTAATCACAATGTAATGTTTTTCCCCATCCAAGTTCATGAGGCTCCCTGTAAGCCGTCCACAGATCCCAGATTAAGAACCCCTGATTTAAGTGTTCTGTTGGCTAACCATCTCCATTTCCTTGAAATGACCTTCATATGCCACAATCTCAAGGCACTTCACTAACCTGCTTGCCTTCTTGTGGATGTTCCCTAACTCGTGTAGTATCCCACCCTGTGATTCCCCCATCTCAGCAAAGAAAGGAGGGGATTGAAATTTCTCAAGTCTCCCACAGGCTAAGCTTCTTAGGAAGAACAAGATTGTGGCAGGCAGAAGTGAGGAGGGGAGTGAATTCCAGGTGTGAGAAGACAATCTGTTCAGTGAAAACAGAGTAGATAAGTGTGAGGTTGAGTGTGTGCAAGGGGGCTGAATGTGAGAAGTGTAATGGTGAACAATTGCATTATATATTAAGAAAATATACTGGGGCAGCTAGGTGGCACAGTGGATAGAGTCAGAAGGACCTGAGTTCAAATCCGGCCTCAGACACTTTAACACTTACTAGCTGTGTGACCCTGGGCAAGTCACTTAACCCCATTGCCTAGCCAAAAAAATAAAATAAAGAAAAAAAAAGAAAATGTATTCATGGACTAATACAAAGTGAAATGAGCAGAACCAGGAGAATATTATGTACAGTAACAGCAGTATTGTAATGGTGATCAACTGTGAATGATTTAGCGGTCCTCAGCAGTACAATGACCCAAGACAGTTCTGAAGGACATGTGATGAAAAATGTTATCCATATCCAGAGAAAGAACTGATGGAGTCTGAATGCAGGTTGAAGCATCCTTTTTTAAACTTTATTATTCTTGGGGTTTTTTTTTCTTGGTCTGTGTTTTCTTTCACAACATGACTGATAGGGAAATAAGTTTTGCATGACTGCACTTGTCTATGAAATTGCCTTCTCAATGAAGGGGGGAGGGGAAAGAGGTATGGAGAGAATTTGGTGCTCAAAATTTTTGAAAACGAGTGTTAAAAGTTCTCTTGGCATGTAATTGGGGAAAGTAGGATATTAAATAATATATTAAAAAAAGAAAAAAAAGAAAACATACTCATAGGAGGCAGTCCAAGAACCATAAAGTCAGAGAACTTTTGAGTAAATATCTACAGGAGCAGGAAGGGAAGAGAGAAGGTTGTGGGGGAAATACACTGCAAATCAGCTGGACAGAATAGATAAGAAGTTTGGGGAAATGGATAACAAGCCTGACACAGACACATGATACAACTGTGGAAGGAGACTTAAGCTGGACAAATGCTGCGGCGTTCCATTCTTTCACGTGTTCCTCCCACCCCCAAAATCCTGTCTTAAGAGTGTTTGGTGTCAACCTGGAAGGAAGTCTTTATTTGAGTTTCCCAGAGATCTGTAGTTGACCTGTTGTGTTTAGTATTTTATTACTTAGGTTAATAGAGTATTTATTACTTAGGTTATTTTCAGATACTTAAGTAAATTGCACAGATGGCATGCGTGGTGTATTTATGAGTAATGTACAGTAGAGACTTTACATGACATTCAGGATACAAAAAGTTCTTGGTTAGCTAGAACTTTGGACCCAGTCTCTTAAGATGAAATATAATGAGGATTAATATAACATTTTACACTTGGTGTTAAAAAAAATCAGCTTCACAAGTACAGAATGGGGAGAAAACCAAGCTTATGAGCTATTTGTCATCTTTGATGCTCTCTTACATACACAGACACACACAGAGCTTATCTTCTCAATATTTCTCATATACACCTTCTATGACACCACAATCACTCTGGCACAGGCCTTCATAACCTCATGCCTGGACTATTGCAATAGTCTGCTGGTGGGTCTGCGTGCCTTAAGTCTCTTCGCACTGCAGTCTATTCTCCACTCACCTGTCAAAGAGATCTTCCCAAATATGCAGGTCTGACTGTCTCACTCCCATATTCAGTCAGCTCCAGTGGCTTCCCGCTGCCTGCATGGTCAAATTTTACATTGTATTATCTGTATCAATAGATTAAAATTAGAGAGAAGCATCATGGAACACAAAAATGAAATAATTGCATTTACTTCAGTCCTTTGGCTAGATTGAACTGTGTGTAAATGGTTAACATGAACAGCAGTATTTTATTGGTTTCCATAATTTGCATCAATTAATACCATTTAATATAAGTTAAAAATCATTCATTTTTGAACATTGTTTTAAAGCTATAAAACCAGACAAAAATCTTGAACCCATATCTCCCAACAGAATGTTCAATTTTGTTCATTTGTTAAGGAAATTCTCAGTCTCTTTGCTTCTTGCAGAATTGCATGCTGATGGCAGAACAGAATCAAGTTTGGATCGGCTCTCAGGACTCCATGATTTACATTATTAACATTCATAGTATGTCCTGTAACAAGCAACTCACTGATCATCGTTCTAGCATCATGGATTTAATTGTAGAAGATGGAAATAAAGAAGCTAGGTAAGTTAAGGCTGAAGAAGTGAAATAAATGGTGTGTCTTTTAATAAGAATTAAAATGCTAGAAAAAGAAAAAAGTTTTAAAATCTGTTTCTGGAAAGAGGTCATAATCTGAGTGAAATTGTCTTCATGGCTATAAAAATGGGCAGTAATTTTTTGAATGACATTTTTCCCTTTGCCAAATCTTAGAATTTTAATTCTATTTGGACCTTAGATCATCTAATCCAGTGGTATCAAATTCAAATAGAAATGCAACCCTATGGGCTGCATATTGATTTAGAAAACTACAAATTAATATTATCTGTGCTATAGTGTATTTTTATATATTTTGTTAAACATTTCCCAATTACATTTTAATTTGATTCAAGAGTGGCACAATTTTGATGCCTCTGATCTAGTCCAACCCCAGCATTTCACAGCTAAAGATGCTGAGGCCCAGAAAGGTGAAGGGACTCATAGAAATCAGTAGCAGAGCCAGACATAGAGAAGCCCAGTAATAGAATACCATTCAGTGCTAATTTGACTGTATGACACTTAACTTCCTTCCCTCCATGATGTAGTCCTGTCTTCATTTTGGATAATGGAAGCTTTTTCACATAAATTCGCTGACTGTAAGTTATTAACATGAAAATTAAACAATAAAAACAAGGTGAAAAGGTAATATATTGTCTTCATTAGAATCTAATACTATAAGGCTTGTTTTTGGGTATCTAGCTGTCATTTATGTTAAAAATTAAACTTCAGCATTATAAATTGTATTTTAGCTTTTCAGCTATTTAAAGTTTTGTTTGTATAGCCTGGGATCTTTGAACTTGTTTTTTAAAAAAAATTTTGATAAATCTGTTTCAATACAGTCCTTTGTCATTGTTTGTATTTTGTTTAATAAATGTAAAACCTGGTTCTGAGAAGGGGCTTGTAGGCTTTACCAGATGCCAGAGGGGTCCATGACACAAAAAAATATTCAGAATCCCTGTTATAGGGGAAGGGGCCCTCCAATATCTGGTTTCTGATAACTGAGTTGTAGGTCTGACTGCTCCATGTATTAGTTGTATGGACAGGGAGAGGGATGAGGGCCTAGCCTGGTGTTTTCATTGGCTTAAGAAACTCCCTCTATCCATATAAGTCAACACCTTTTATACTATTTATAATCTCAGAGATTTGCACAGAGCAGTGAGGGAGTACGTCACTTGCCCAGGGTCACACGGCCAGTAAGTATCAGAGGTGAGGCCTGAATTCAAGCCTTCCTGGCTCCAACGCTGGCTGTCTCACATGAACACAGGCCTTCCTGGTGCTGTGACCAACTCTCTTCACCTTACCCCACTGCCTCTACAGTGCCGTGGTGGGCCAGATCGCTTCACAAGATTGGCCTGTTTGCTTATCTTATAAATGGATAGTAATAATATTACTAATTACTAACCATATAATATTATGCCTCAAAGGGCTGTTGTGAGAGTAACACTTTATGGACTAAAAAGTCCTTTAGAAGTGAGAACTCTTATTATTCTTATCATCAACATTGTCACCATAAGAATTTAATAAGTCCCTGTAATATGTAATTGAATACTGCCGGCAACAAGTCCTAGAATCACAGGGCCATAGACCAGAAGCTGAAGAGGTCCTCAGTCAAGCCCTCTTATTTTACAGATGTGTAAACTGAGGCCAAGTGACTTATACAAGATCACATGTAGGTGGTAAGCATCAGAGGCAGAGGAATAGTCAGGGATAGGAAGTCATGCCCTGACTTGATTAAATTTAAGTAAACTTTTGGCATTATCAAATTGCCGTTCTTATTTCTTAGCATTGATATTTTAACCCTACTTCTCCATGTAATTTGTTCACTGTTCCTATGGCTTCCATATAGTTTTATTTAAGGATAACTTATGGTCTCTCTTGAATTAAAGTATACACAAAAGTAAGTCCTAATTTTTTTTAACAGCAGCAGTGAAGTCTATTCATGCAGTTTGGATGGAGTAATCATTGCTTGGAATGTCAGTACCCTGAAAGTGAATAGGAAATTTCACCTGCCATGCCAAACTCTAACTTCCATTAAGCTTCATAATGGCCGCCTTTGGTGCTGTAAGTCTGCTGATGCACACCGTTAAAATGTATTTTGGAACTAACAGCATTGTGATTTTATTTAAGTTCATTCTCACTCTTCAGTCAGCAAAACAGCAAACACTGATGAAGCCTTTTTATGTGCTGGGGATATAAATAAAAGCCAAATAAAAGCCCTCCAGGGGCTTACATTCTGAGGAGGGAGACATGTAAAAACCGGGGATGGGGGTGGGTATGCATAGATGTGTGTGTGTGTGTGTGTGGTTGTGTATACACACACACACACACACACACACATACATACACATGTATATGTACTTACGTGTGTATATATATATATAAAAGCTATGTATCTTAGCACTTAGATTCTCTTTGTATTTGTTTTCTACTTTTTCTGTTTTTATTTTCATAAAACTGGTTCTTCTCTCTCTCCTATGTCTCTGTCTGTCTTTCTCTCTGTCTGTCTCCCCCTCCTCTCTGTCTTCCTCCTTCTCTCCCTTTCTCTCTACTCTCTCTGCCTCTCCCTCTCCCCTCCCCTCCCCCTCTTTGTCTTTCCCCTCTCTCCCTTTCTCTCTCTTTCCTCTCTCTTCTCTTCTGTCTCTGTCTCTCTCTCTCCCCCCCTCCCTCTCCTCCTCCCCTCTCTTTGTCTTCCCCCTCTCTTCCTTTCTCTCTCTCCTCTCTCTTCTCTTCGCTCTCTGTCTCTGTGTGTGTGTGTGTGTCTCTCTCCCTCTCCCCTCCCCTCTCTTTGTCTTCCCCCTCTCTCCTTTTCTCTCTCCCTCCTCTCTTCCCTTCCCTTCCCTTCCCTTCCCTTCCCTTCCCTTCCCTTCCCTTCCCTTCCCTTCCCTTCCCTTCCCTTCCCTTCCCTTCCCTTCCCTTCCCTTCCCTTCCCTTCCCTTCTCTTCTCTCTCCCCCCTCCCCCCTCTCTATCTTTCCCTCTCTCTCTCCCTCTCTCTCCCTCTCCCTTTCTCTTCCTCTCCCTCTCTCTTTCCCTCTCCCTCTCCCCTCCCCACTCTTTGTCTTCCCCCTCTCTCCCTTTCTCTCTCTCTCTCTCTCCCTCTCCCTCTCCCCTCCCCTCTCTTTGTCTTCCCCCTCTCTCCCTTTCTCTCTCTCTCTCTCTCTCTCTCTCTCTCTCTCTCTCTCTCTCTCCTCTCCTCTTCACTCTCTGTCTCTCTCCTCTCTGTCACCCTCCCTTTCTCCTGTCTCCTGTCTTCCCCTCTCCCTCTCTCCTCCTTCTCTCCCTTTCTTTAGCAGTAATACATAGCAGTGCTTTAAGGTTTGCAAAGCCTGTCTCATATGATCCTTACGACAACCTTGTGAGGTAACTAATACAGGTGTTAATAACCCCATTTTATGGAAGAGGAATCTGAGGCTCAGTGGCTCATCCATGATTATACAGCTAATAGTCATCAGAAGCAAGATTCAAACCCAGGTCTCCCTTGACTCCTTTTCCTACTTTATCATGTTGCCTCTAAGCCTAATCTGCTAATTTTTTAATGCTTCGAATCAGTTATTTTTAACCCAATAGTTTTCATTAAAGGTCCATAACATAAAATCACAGAAACAAAGTAGGGGCAGGCATAGCTTCCCTAACGTAATTAATTGGTTGTGTGAAAATATGACATTACTCAGAATGACAGGGGATAGTTGCTTCCATGGGAACAACATTATAAATGGGGATCTCTCTAAAAAGGGCTGCAGGGTTTCACAACATCAGGGGGGTTATAACATATTAAGGACATTATTGTGAATTAACATTAGTCAGGGAACATTATGCAGAGTGGTGAGAATCTACTCAAACCGTTCCCCAAAGACAGTCATCTGTCTTCTCTGAATTTGCTGTAAACCTCCTCACTTCACTGAGGTTGCCAAGCTCTCTGCAGCATCCCTCACTCTGGGCCCTTTCGCACTGTCTCCACCACTGCCATTCTACACCCTCATCCCCCAGCGGGATTTCTTAGGGTAGCTCTTTAATTGTTCTTCTCGCCCCTAATCTTTGTCAGTCAACAAACATTTATTGAGCACCTAGTGCACACAGGCTACTGTGCTAAGTCCCGAGGATACAGAGAAAAGTAAGAAAGAACAAGGTCCCTGCCTGCAAGGAGCAAAATATGGTACATACAAGAAAGATATGTACAGGTGTGAGTGGAGAATAATCCTAGAGGGAAGGCACTGGAGAGGGGGTCAGGAGGAAAGATTTCTGGTAGAAAGTGGAATTTGAGTTGAATCACTGAGGGAAGCTAGGAAGCAGAGGTGAGGAGGAAGAGCATTCTCTTCTAATCTATCCTTACTAATGCTACCAAATTATTCTTCCTTGTTCAAATCAACAACCATTTATTAAGCACCTACTGTGTGCCAAGTATTATACTCGCTGCTGGGGCCACAAAGGTAAAAATGAAATAGTCTTTACCTTCCAGGAACTTACTGGAAAGTCTCATGCAAAGATCTGGTCATATCATTTATTTGGTAGAGGAGAGGGGAATAAGCACTCAGGGAGCACCTACTATGTGCCAGGCACTGCACTAAGGGCTTTTGCCAGTAACATCTCATTTGAGCTCATGAGTGAGTTGGATGGCACAGTGGATAGAGTACCAGACCTGGAATCAGGAAAAGTGGAGCTCAGATTTGGTCTGACACTTTTTAGCTGTGTGACCCTGAGCAAATGATGTAACCTCTGTTTACCTCCGTTTCCTCATCTGTAAAACGGGGATGATAATAGCACCTACTTCTCCGAGTCGTCGTGAAGATAAAATGAGATGCTAATTATAAAGCAATTAGCATGGAGTCTGGCACATAGCAAGAGCTGTATAAATGCTGGCTATTCTCATTATCGTTGTTGTTGATCCTTGCAACAACCCTGCAAGGTAGGTGTTATTATGATCCCATTTTACAGTTGAGAAAACAAAGGCAAACAGGTTAAGTGACTTGTCCAGGGTCACACCTATTTGCTCCTCATTGCCTGACACGTAAAATTAAAACTCCATTGCTTGTCATTCAAGGCCTTCCGTCACTCATGTTACTCCCCTTCATGTCCTCTGTGTCTTAGTCAAACCTGTATCCCTAGAGCCTATCTTGTGTTTTCCTACCCTTGTACTTTTTCTTATGCTGTTCCTCACACTCACTGTGACCTCCTCCTTCTCCTATTCATGCATTTATTGTTTACATTTCAATAGTTTTACCAAAAGGTCAGTTTCTGAATATTTGAACTTAATGCTGGTTTGTTGAGTTACTTCAGCCAACTGAAGTTTGCCTTGATGAATTAGGAAGGAAGTTCTTCAGAGAATCAGGTGTTTAGGGGAATAACTGAAGAGTGCATCTGCCAAATGCTTTACGAAATAAAGCATAAGACAAATGAGACTCATCGGTCCTGTTCTTCCTTTAAAGCCTGAATCAGGCTCTGCTACCACCTCTGTGATACTGCCTCATACTTTCCTCTTCCAGCCTCCCATAGCATTTGGTTTGGTACCATTCTAATGTACTTTACATGATGTATTATAGTTACTTGGGTTCACGTTATCTACCCATTAAACTGTTTAGCTTTGTGAGGACAGAGACCATGTCTCAACTAAACTTATCCCTCTTAATACCTAGCATTTTTTTTTATTATTCAGTTACATTTGACTCTTTGTGACCCTGTTTTGAATTTTCTTGGCAAAGATACTACAGTGGTTTGCCATTTCCTTCTCCAGCCTGTTTGACAGATGAGGAAACTGAGGCAAACAGGGTTAAGTGACTTGCCCGGGGTCACACACTAAGTGTCTGAGGCCAGATTTGAACTCAGCAAGATGAGTCTTCCTGACTCTATCCACTGTGCCACCTAGCTGCCCCAATACCTAGCACAGAACTCTGCAAGCATTGGGCACTTAAATATTTTTTGGCTGAACAGTTCATTCCTCTGTCCCATGGTCATCACTATAGGTCTTTTTCCTTTTTAACAAGTGCATTCTAAATAAATGTTTAAAAAACTATTTTTCTTTTATATATTACTCATGCAGTTACCATTCTGTTTTATTTTATAGATATCTGGGCATGTGGCAAGCCCCTCACTAGAACATAAGCTCCTAATCTTACTCATCCTTGTCCCCTACCTCCACCCCAGCAATAATATTAACAGCTAGCATGTATTAAGCACCTACAGTGTGCCAGGTGTTTTACAAATATTGTCTCATTTGATCCTCACAACAACCCTGGGAGGTAAATGCTATTATGGTCCCTATTTTGCAGATGAGGAAACTGGGATTGACACAAGTTAAGTGACTTGCCCAGGGTCACAGAGTTAGTTAAGTGTCTGGATTGGCTTTGAATTCAGATCTTCCTGACTCCAAGTGCAACCCTCTATCTGCTGTTTCACCTAGCTGCCTTTCATAGGGTCTTGTACATACTAGGCATTTAACAAACATTTGAATTTTATATTTAACATAAAGATTTGAAAAGCACTTTGTAAAATGAATGGATGAATGAATGAATGAATGAACAAGTGCTCCACAAGCCACAGTGAGGATATTTTTTCTTTCACTTGACCCACTTCTCCCTGAACTCTTTGCTTGGTTTATTATATGGCAGTTAAGCTGTATTTCACTCTTATGTTTCCTTAAAAGTATGGCTTCTTTATATGTGATTTGGATATGTCCATTGTGAGCTGGTTTTTTTTTTTAAACATTGCAGGTATAGGCCCTAGCATTATGGTCGTGACAACAAACGGATTTCTTCGACAAGAACTGAAAATTGATGAGCTCTTTAAGGGAATATTTGCTTCTTTCCTCTGTTTCCAGCTGGTTCCTGAGGTATTTTAGAACAATTCATTGTGGAACATTATCAGCAAGTCTGATATTGCTTAGCAGTAAAATGCCTGAATAAAAATGTCACACTGTCACTTGTATTTTTAGCAAGACCAGGTCTGGACAGCATGTGCTGGACACAGAGACATATATGTCTGGAACATAAAGGACTTCTCAAGGCCGCCTCATAGAATTCAGCTTCAAGACTGTTCAGAGATCAGCTGTATGATCAAAGTAAAGAACCAGGTATGAACCTTGTAACTGTCACCTGTCAAAGTCATAGGGGTTGATCCCCATCCCAGGGCAGCAGAAAGAAGGGTTTAGAGATGTATTTGTGTTTGTACAGGTAAGCAGATACAAGCCTATTAGCCCATGACTGCATGTCCCAGGACCAGCCATTGAGCCATAGAGGAGTAGCACTAGGAATAATCTTTGGGCTGTCTAGCCCAATCTGCTCCTTGTTTTATAGATGAGGACAGCAAAGTGGGGAAGGGCCTTGTGCAAGTGTAGAATTCACGAGATTGAAGCAGCCTGTGGGAACCTCTTGCCCTAACTCTTTTGGAAGCATTCACTCCCCGTGCAATCTCCCCGTGATTGGAAGGATGGTGGTACCCTTGGCAGTAATAAGGAAGTTTATATAAGTGGGGAGGGTTTGGGGAAGAAATGAGTTCTGTTCTGAAATGTTGTATTTGAGATGCCTGTTCAGAATGTCCAGTAGGCAGTTGGTGATGAAAGATAGGAGAAAATAAGAGGGCTCAGGATAATGTGAGCCATGGGCACAGCCACTGTTTGTGTGTGGGTATGACGTGGTTGAAAATCCAGCAAGAAAAAAAAAAAGCAAAACTGATGGGCAGACAAGTAGGAGAGTGTTGAGAGAGGTCAGGAAGGATTTATATTGAGAAGGGGTCATTGGATTTGGCAAATAAGAAATCAAATACTTATTCTTCCTAATTTAGAAGGTCGTCATGAAAGTCAGATGAGACGGTGAAAGTGAGAATGCTTTAGAAAAATTATAAAAGTCCCACAAATTAGAAGAAGCAGCCATGATGTAAGGGCAAGAATGTGGTCTAGCTGTGTGACTTTGGGCAGATCATTTCTTCTCTCTGAGCCTGTTTCCTCCTCTGTTAAATGAGGCTAATAATCTTATGTCACAGAATTATTAAGTGGATATTTATGTATGTATAACCTGTGGCTCAAAATGAGTTCACATGCCCTAGATTCGGTCTTGGAGGCTTCTCAGTAATTTTCTTGGATATACACAGTTGTTGTTCAGTTGTGTCCAAAACTTCATGACCACGTTTGGGGTTTTCTCAGCTGACATACTGGAATGGTTTACCATTCCCTTCTCTGGTTCATTTGACAGAGGAGTAAACTGAGACAAACAGGGTTAAGAGACTTGCCCAGGGTCACACAGCTAGTAAGTGTCCAAGCCAGATTTGAACTCAGGAAAGGAGTCTTCCTGACTCCAGGCCTAGCGGTCTATGCATTGCACCACCCAACTGGAGTATCAGAATTTAGCTCATGCCTAGGTCTCCCTTTTAAAAAAAGGAAAAGAAAAGAGGGGCCTTCAGTTCTCATGCAAAGAGTCAGACTGACAAAACATTGAATGTAGGACAGGTTATGTTTAACACGATAGGAAATTCAGAGGACCCATACTCAATTCCATAAACAGTCAAAAACGATGATTTTCCTCTAAAAGTTCTGCCTTCCCCAGGTATCTGTACCATCCCCTTAAGTCATAGTCTCAGCAGATGGAAAGGTTGAAGTTGTTCCTTCTTCAGGTCTCAGCACCATTTCTCCTCTGGGGTTGAGGTGGTGAGGACATGCTCTATAAATGTATCTTCACCATTATAATTATCATTATTTTTATTATTGCTTCACTGTTGTCGTTTTCCCAAGGTGCCTTCTTATAAGAATTTTTACCTTCAAGGTTTAGTATAGCAATGTTGCTTCTGATTGTGGAGGACCATTATAAAATTAATCAGTCCAGAGTTATTTTCATATCTTTTGTTTGTATTGGTGGTGTCCACAATTGGAATGTAAGTAGCTAGTAGAGAAGGATCTGTGTCACATGTGCAATGGATAAAGTGCTTTTGGATGATGGCGGAGGCATGAAATGCTTTTTTAAAAAAATTAGAGTTCTTGATGGAGTCTGAATGCAGATTGAAGCGTACTTCTTTTACATTCTTCATTTTTCTCCTTTTATCTGTGTTTTCTTTTGCAACATGCTGTTGTTATTGTTTAGTTGTTTTCAGTTCATATTTGATTCTTTATGACCCCATTTAGGGTTTTCTTGGCAAAGATACTGGACTGGTTTTGCCATTTCCTTCTCTGGCTCATTTGACAGAGGAGGAAACTGAGGCAAACAGGGTTATGTGACTTGCCTAGGATCATACAGCCAGTAAATATCTGATGCTGGATTTGAACTCAGGTCTTCAGGCCCAGCCCCTCTATCCATTATGCCCCCAGCTGCAACATGGCTAATATGGATTATGTTTTGTATGACTTCACCTATATAATCTATGTCAAATTGCTTGCCTTCTCAAGGGGGGAGGGTAAAGAGGGAGAAAGAGAATTTGGAACTCATAATTTTAAAAAATGAATGTTTGAAAAAAACTTGTGTACATGGAATTGAGAAAAACAAAAAGAAAAAAAATTTGAAATTATAGTTTTTAATGTACTCCTGTGATTTTTTTCTTCTTCTTCTTCAGATCTGGGTTGGCAGCAAAGGACTGTCCCAGGGAAAATACAAGGGGAAAATCTATGTGATTGATGCTGATAAGAAAATTGTGGAGAAGGAGCTGGTGGCCCACGCTGACACGGTGAAGGCTTTGTGTTCAGCAGAGGACCGATATGTGCTGAGTGGTTCAGGCAAAGAGGAAGGAAAGATTGCTATTTGGAAAGTTGAATAATTTTTTAGCACTTTAAAATGTGTTTCCCATGAACTATCACTATGATGGCCAGAAAATAGGACCATTGGGAGTGATATTAAATAAATGTATGCCTTTGCTGTTACCATACAGTCATCACTTTTTTTAAAGTCGAAGAAACCTTGGAAGTCCTTCTGACCAATGCATTCATTTTGTCAAAGCTCAGAAAAGGGAACTTACTTATTTAAGGTGCCAAAACTGTCACTAAACTCCACCATGATGTTTTTATAGTCATGTTGCCAAGACAATCGCAACGTTTGTCAGGCTAAGTTACGCTCTGGTCCTTTATCTAGAGCAGAAAGTGGGCTCAGACGTAACTATGAATATGAGGGAATGTCAACATTAGGCAGCCAAACCCTGCTTACCTAGAATCCCCCAGATTAAAGCCATTAAATCCGAGATTATCCCTGCAGGGAATTCTTGGCTGTGCTTGAAAACCCCAGTAACAATGGTGCTGTGACTTGTAAAAGCAAATTGGAAACCTTTCTGACCAAATGGGATAGAGATTCCTGGGTGTTTGCGTGACACCATTCGCCTTGTCATTGGGCACGCCATGGGGCCACCTGCATGACCACAGGTTTGTGATTAAATGTTCTGTATTTTTATTTTGGTTTTTCAGGTGCATTTTTCACGCACTCTTATTTTCATCATTAAAACTTCCATCATGACCAATGTATGTGACCAGGCTCAGGACTCTTCTGTATTGACAGCAGAGTGATGACTGATCTGGCCACCTGTGGCCAATGCCTGGGCTTTTTTCTTAGTGACTCATGTAATGAAGAAACTTTCATAAATATTTTTAAATATCTCTACTTGTTACTTGAACAACGAGATTCTTAAGTAAGGATAGCACTTAAAAAAGCACACACCACAAAATGTACTTTTAAAGTATTATATAGCCATCTGGTTGGTTGTTAACCTTACCTCCATAGAAGCTGCCTACCAGGTATACAGGGATAACTTCAGGGTTTTTTCTATGCTTACTTACATATGTATATGGTGCTGCATTATTTAAATTAGAGAGAAAAAAGTTCTGGGAAATTTCATATAAATATTTAAAATATTTGTGTTTCAGTAGTACAGTTATCTGTGTTTTCATCAGTGTGAGTGCTCCATTCATACAAACTGAAATTCCTCTGTTCTTTAGTAGGCAGTTTCATAAGTTCCTATAAATTTCCCCTCCCTAACCCCAGCCAAAAAAAAAAAAATCACCTGGCTGCCAGCTTTCTAGTGATGTAAGTTGTACTTGGCTGGGCTAATCCTCACACTGCTAACACCATCAGTCAAAGGGTCCATATTCCAAGCTTTTCAAGCTCGCTGTGGAACTTTCCAGAGCTTGCCTTTTTCTGACGTGAACGTCAAGCCACCCAGCTCACCCCCTGCCACGAGAAGGCATTACAGGAGGACTTTGATGGAGATTGAAAGCAATTTAAAATAATTCTTTCATTAGAACTGCATTCTCTTATTGCAGACAAAAAAGTCCAGGACAAAGTCAATACAATAGAAACAAATGCTTTTATCCGTCCATGGGAAGAATTTATACTTTGGACATGTTGTATGTGCAACATTGGAGAGAACACAGCACATGCAGTAAGCGTGTATGTCTATGAGTATCCATCTCATGTACCATGTACTATCCTAGGCCTTCCATTCGAACACTAATAAGGCATCCCTTATTCCAGGGGTTCCTAGTGAAATTTCTTTAGTACGTGGAAATGACTTTCTTTTTCACAAGCTGTTTGGGGCTTTCTCTCCATTAGGTCAGACATAATGAATGAAAACTGAAATCTTGAGTCTAAAGGCCATGTGTCCAGTTGCCGTGGTCCAGGTGTTTAGATAAAGTCAATAATTGACCCATTTCTTTCTCCTCCTGCCACCCCCTCCCCCCAGTGAATCCAAAATTTTAAGTTTTCAAAGACGGTGACCTTTATGTACAGGTCTACCCAGCCTGATCTCAGTAATTGATTCCTCAAAAATAGGACACTGGCTGATAAAGTGGGTGGAATTCTGGATTTGGAGTCAAGAAGACATGAGTTCAAATCCTGCCTTAGACACTTCCTAACTGAGACCCTGGGCAAGTATAACCCCTTTAAACTTCAATTTCCTCATTTATAAAATGGGGATGATAATAACAGCACCTACCTCCCAGGGTTATTGTGAAGATCAAATGAGTAATATATGTAAAGCACTTTGAAAACTCTGAAGTGTTATATAAATGCTATAATTATTATTATTATTATCAAAATCATCATCATATAGTAATATTACTATAGAGTCAGTGTGAGGATCAGTGAGATAATGTATGTAAAGTGCTTTGCAACTTAGCAGGCTATATAATTGTGAACTCTTACCATCATTGTAGCTTTACAGGAACTTAGCTCCCCAGAAAGAACGTTAGGAATGGACACATCAATGAATCAATCAGTCAACATTTATTAAGCACCTCCTATGTGCCAGGCACTGTGCAAAGTGCCAGGCATACAAAAAGAGGCAAAATACAGTCCCTGCCCTCAAGGTGCTTACAATCTAATGAGCATTACCTAAAAACATTCTGGTGAGATTATGATAAAATCTGGTTATAACTGTAAGTGATATGGCTGCAGGATGACCTTGATCATTGCAACTTTATATGGGCTATGCATGTAAATGCGTCTGAAGGTTAAGGTTTATCATAATGTGATAGCCAGTGATTTAAAGGTGTTTCTGGGAATGCTATTTCAGTGCAAGTGTAGATTCCCTATTTTAAATCATGGTTTCTGTGCACATATGTTTTATTTTAGTTGAGTTACTGGCCTTTCTACATGGGGTTGGAAACTTCCCTCCTTACAGATGATTCTATTTGATCTTCGAATGAAGGAAAGTAAATTTTTCCGTTGTGTCCAAAGTTGTAAATAGTTTTTTTTAAAGATAGATGACTGCTTTTATGAACAGTTATAACAGAGAAATAAAATCTGAATAGTTTAAACTATTTAATACCATGTTATATATGCTTATATATTAAGCCTATCTCTAATAAAGAGCATTTTTTATTTTATAATTATTGCTCATTGGTTTCTTTATTTTCTCCAATTTTAGTTTCACAAGTAGGTCTTTAAATTGTATAGTGTTATTTTCTGTAGTGGTAAGAGCCCTGGCCTTGCAGTCCATCAGAAGATCTGGTTTTAAGTCCTTAGTTCTGTCTCAGTTTCCTCATCTGTAAAATGAGGATAATACTTAACATCTTCACAGGGCTGTCATAGGGAGCAAATGAGACAGCATATATAAGTTCTTTGTCACTTGTAAAAGAGACAGAGGAGAGAGACAGAGAGAAAGGAGAAACAGAGAGACAGAGAGGAAAGAGTGAGAAAGAGAGGGGGGAGACAGAGAGAGAGGGAGGGAGAGAGGGAGGAAAGAAAGGAGAGAGGGAGAAAGAGAGACATAAAGACAGAGGAGACAGAGAGAGACAAAGAAGAGAGGGGCAAGAGAGAGGAGAGAGAGTATTTTTGTGTGTGTGTGTGTGTGTGTGTGTGTGTGTGTGTGTGTGTGTGTGTGTAAACATTTGTGATTGCTGATAACACTGGCAAAATTCATTTTCCTGCCAGTAACAGCAGCTGCCTACCACACCAGGAGGCCTGGCACTTGCGTCCCATTTCCTGCATGAGACCTTTTGTGGTCCACCAACTGGTAGCACCTCCCCACTCATCTACCATGTGTGTATTTTGTACAGAATAGATATGTACCTAGAGAGAGAGTGTGAGCTCTTAGGAGCAGGAACTGTTTCATTTTTGTCTTTGTATCCACAGGGCACAGCACATAATAGACATTTAGTAAATGCTTGTTGATGGATTCACTGGGAACCAGCAAATTGGCATGGGATGTCCAGTGGCTAAGCATACCTAGAGGATGAATGAGAAGGAATTCTGTTGGTCTCCAGAAATCTAAAGGATCACCAAATTTCAGTTCCTTGAATGACCATCCCTGAACTATTAATCACTTAAAGCAAAGAAGGAGGAGAAGGGAAGAGGAATTGATATTTGCTGGATTGGTTTTCCCAAATGAAAATTAATTTGAATATATTCAGATTGGGAGACAGCCAGGTTGTGCAATGGATGAGAACATTGGCTTTGGAGTCAGGAAGGCCTGAGTTCAAATCCATCTTCAGATGCTAGCTACGTGACTTTGGACAAGTCACTTAACCTCTCAGCCTCAGTTTCCTCATGTGTAAGATGTAGATAATAGCACCTATCTCACAGAGTTCTGAGGATCAAATGAGATAACATATCTAGAACCTTGCAAACCTTAGAGCGCTGTATGAATTCTAGCTATTATTACTATAGCTGTTACTATATAGTGGCAGTTTGTCATGCTTTGCAATTTGCAAAGCACTTTTATGGTTAACAAGGTGCTTTCATATGCATTTTATTTGTCCCTTACCAGCAACCCTTTTTGAATCAGGCAGCATAAAGATTATATGGACTTTACACATGGAGAAACTGAGTCTCAGATAAGAAGCAACTTGCCCAAAGCCACATAACTAGGGATGGTACTGAAACTTGAACCCTGCCCGCGATTCCTGGGATCTTTTTATACCTCTAGGCTAAAGCGTGTCCCTGATTTATTATCCTCAAGTTCCAAGCAACTTCCTTACTTCCTGCATTTGGTTAAGATCTTTGATGTCTTATTTCACAGGGATTATATTTGAAACAGATGACACAGGAAGATGAGAGGCTTTTAGGAAAGCCATCAGTTATACAAAGAAGAAAAATCTCAAGACTTTTGTATGAGGGACTGAATGTTTGAGTTGAAAAGACCCAAATTGGCAGGTTCTGTATTTATTTAAAGACAGTCCTTTGTGCTGCTTTATTTTAACAGGGCCCCTTTTGTCCCTGCAGCTTTCTCTCTTTCTGCACTTTGGAACTATTACGTTATGAATTGCATTGTCCTGGAATGAATTGAGATGAGTTTGAATTTATTAAGGGGGTTTTCAAGGTCACAGCCGTCAAAAACCTGGACTCAATCAGGGTGAATATGTTTATCCTAAAGTAGAGAAGAACATAATTGAATATCAGGAATCGAGTTTTAGCCCCAAAATGGGTAGTGAGAGGAGAAAGCTTGCATTTCAAGGCAGGAAGTTGTTTGGTGGCCTTGGTGAGAAGCTTGTGCTCAACTTTATTTAACTGCTATAGAAGTTGGAAGGATGGTTGTACAGTAATGGCTTTATGACCAGCCCCGGAAAATGTGCCTGGCTTGGCTTGTATCTCATTGAAGGCATTTGGTTGGACACGGTCATATTGCAGCTAAAAATTCAGAAGTTATGGTTGCGTTTGAATTACTCGTGAACTGCCTTCCAAGTTGCTGGGATAACAGCAGCTTGGGAACAGTTTTGCTGTTTCCAGCTATACCTTTCAGACAGGTCTGTTTCTTACAGATGTTTAAGGAGGCATATAAGACAGGAAGTCAATGGAATATAATCTGAACAATGATGATCTTTCACTCCTGGACTCTCACCCACTTTGCATTGTTGGCCTCTCTCATTCTTGACCCCTTCCCCTTCCTTGATCACCATATTCAGTTAGTTGCCAAGATTTGCTGGTTATCCCATTCATCTCCTCTCTATCTCCATTGCCATCTCCCTTGCCCAGGCAAGTCCAATCTTGACTGGACTATTGTCACAGCCTCCTAATCTCTCCCCTCTCCAATCTATCCACCACACATCTGTCAAAATATCCTATCTAAAGCTCAGGTCTGACCATGCCACATCCCTAGTCAAAAGCTTCCAGGATAAAACAACCTCTGGAATAAAATGCAAACTGCCCAGCTTGGCACTTAGGGTCAGGCTCCAAGCTACCCCTCCAAGCTAATATTATTCCATATTACTTCCCTACATTTACTCTGTGATCCAGCCAAACTGAACCACTGATCTTTTGTGAATTCAACATTGCATCTCCTATCTCCATTCAGATAAGCTCTCCTCCATCCCCTGGAATGCACGTCTTCCTCTTTGCCAGTCTGAACACTTGTCTTTCTTTAAGGCTCAGCACAGGTATCTCAGCCTATGAGAAGCCTTTCCTAAGCCTCCTGCGTGTTTGTTAATGCTTTCTCCTTCCTCAAATTACTTCTGATTTACCTTCTATTTACATGTTGCTTCCCCCAGTAGAATTTAAGCTGCTAGAGTTATATGTCCCTAAGGCCTAATACAGCTCCTGGAGATACGTTGGCTTCCATCAAA